ATATTGCATGACATGATCCACAAAGAGGTTGAGGTGTACGTGGACGACGTGATTGTCAAGTCCAAAGAAAGAGAGGGCCACTACACCGCCTTGCAAAAGTTCTTTCAAAGGATCAGAGAATTTCGGTTACGGTTGAATCCTCAGAAGTGTGCATTCGGTGTTATAGCGGGGAAAATGTTGGGGTTTCTAATTACACAGAGAGGTATCGAAGTCGACCCTTCCAAAATCAAGGCCATCTTAGAAATGCCACCACCAAGGACTGAAAAGGAGGCGCGAGGCTTTCTGGGTAAGGTGCAATTTATAAGACGGTTTACCTCAAAATTAACCTTGACTTGTGAACCACTTTTTGGCCTCCTGAAGAAAGGAAAGAAATTCCAATGGGACGGCCGATGCCAAGCTGCTTTTGAACAGATCAAGGAATACTTACAGAACCCACCCGTGTTGTCACCGCCAGAGCCGGAGAGACCGTTGATATTGTATCTTTCGGTAACCGAGACTACAATGGGCTGCATGCTCGCGCAAGAATCAGAGGACAAGGTGGAGAGAGCCATCTACTATCTGAGCAAGAAGATGCTAGAGTATGAGACTCGCTACACACCGTTGGAGAAGGCTTGCTTAGCTTTGGTATGGGCTACTAGGAAGCTGTGGCACTACCTGTTAGCTCACTCCGTAATGTTGGTTTCACGGCTTAATCCCATCAAATATTTTTTCAAGAAACCGGCACTTATGGATAGGCTAGCTCGTTGGTTGCTGTTGCTTTCCAAATTCGATCTGAAATATGTAACGCGCAAGTCAGTCAAGGAAAGAGCGGTAGCGGAGTTCCTAGCCGATCATCCAGTGGAAGGAGTGAAGGGAGGTGAAGCAGTTAAGTACTTATTCCCAGATGAGGCCATTCTTCATATCGACGATGAATTTTGGACGATGTACTTTGACGGAGCGTCAAACCAGTACGGGTATGGAATAGGGGTGTTGCTGATAGCGCCCGACAATTTCCGTATCCCTCTAGCCTTCAAACTCTGGTTCAAAGTTTCGAACAATGAAGCAGAATATGAGGCATGCATTGCCGGTCTAGAAGCAGCCTTGGAACTAGGGGCAAGACGGTTGGATGTCATTGGGGACTCGAACCTTGTTGTATCCCAAGCTAAGGGGGATTAGAAGGTCAAAGAAGAAAAGATGATAATGTACCACCAGACCTTGGACCAGCTGATTCCTCGGTTTGAGAAGCTAAACTTCACTTACATACTAAGAGAAAACAACAGGTTCGCAGATTCACTAGTAACTCTATCTTCCACGATAGACATCCCGTTTGGAGTCCGGATGCGTCCAGTCATTATCGACCAGAAATTTGTGCCGGCTTACGAATCGATTGCTGCTATAGATGAGGTCCAAGACGAGAACCCCTGGTATTATGATATTTGGAATTTCATGGAGAAGGAAGCATATCCACTGGGGGTAAATGCCAAGGACAAAAAGGCAATCAGAAGAATGGCCGTTCAGTTCATCATCTGTGGAGGTAAATTGTATAAGAGAGGTCATCTGGGAATGCATAAGCTGTGCGTTGAAGCTGAAGAATCAAAACGCCTGATGGAGGCCATCCATGGAGGGGAATGCGGTGCGCATATGAACGGAGTAATGCTAGCACGGAAGATCCTCAGACAAGGTTATTATTGATCCACCATGGAAGAGGATTGTATCGGTTTTGTTCGGCGATGCCACAAATGTCAGATCCATGCAAACCACATGAACATCCCGCCGTCGAAGCTGTACAATATGACTTCGCCATGGCCATTTTCGGTTTGGGGAATCGATGTGATCGGGGCTGTCACTCCAAAGGGGTCGAATGGGCATGAGTTCATCCTAGTTGCGATAGATTACTTCACAAAGTGGGTTGAGGCCCAATCCTATGCGGTGTTGAAGGCGTCACATGTTGCAAAATTCATTAGAAACAACATCATCTATCGTTATGGGGTCCCAAACAAGGTCATTTCAGATAATGGTTCCCACTTCAAAAAGGAAGTTTAGGCTGCTACAA